GATGGTCAGCTAAATAAATGATTGACAAACGACCGGATGGATTGAATTATGCATACATGATTGGATGAATGTATAAATTAATATGGGGACAGAAAGGATCGTTATATACTAGTAAGGTACACTGACGATTAATTGAATTATTAATTGACAGACATATCGATAAAAAGATATACAGATAGGCAGAGAGATGGATAGACGCGTTTGTGACTGCATAAATAGACAGATGCATTAACCGATTGATTGATTGACTGGTTGATTGACGGCGAAATGTTTCGCGCCAAAGCAGCATAGAGAAGGAACGAAACTGTCACCAGAAACTGTAGAATCGTGATGAATAGCGAAACAACCATAGGAAAGCAAATTCTCGTTTGGTAGTAGCTATTACACACAAAGTAATGCCAAAAAACAGCTGGGTGTGCAGCAAATCAGAGCTTAAAACGGGCCCACTGGTGATTCCGTTTAAGCAGCGACTTCGGAAGATCGATAGGCAAAGGCACCATCTTGATTCGTATGCGTAATGGTGTATTGATGACCTTACTAGCACTCACATTTGCCCTTATTAACCGTCCCGGTGGCTATAAAGATATTGATGAGGTGCGGAATCTTCACTATATTGCCTCATTTGCGAATCTTGGTATGAAGCGTGTAAATATTGTATAGGAGAACTTTGCTGATATTATAAAGAAGAGTTTGAGCGCAATCTGAATAAACTCTTTCTTTTTTATACAGTTGTTTTTTCTTTGGTTCGATGATTAGTTATATACCTTTCTTGTTCATACCATTTTTATGTACTTGCCTCGAACTAAAAACTGACACTTACTATCTACCGAGGCAGTAAAAATGGCGTGAAAAATAGATCGATGAGTAGGTGCATCGACTGAATAAATTATATAGATGGAGAGATTCATAGCCAGATAGATATAACAAGATCGACCGAAGTACCAGTGTTTCGACCCACGTCTCGCCTTTCTTCTTCAAGGTGGAACGCCAGATTAGCTATATACAGCTAGACGCCTTGTTTAGCTAATAGATAGACACTTTATAAGATATAACGGAGAAACGGTGTATATTACAATCACTAGTCATCTTGGCATTTCAAAAGAATTTTTTATGATTTTGTAATGACGAATGTCCTGCAGGATTCCCCGCAGTGCTACCTGAGGTTAATCATAGCAGCTTCGGTGTACAATCTGTTATTGAAATTGTCTGTAGTGACTACAGAAGTCGTATAGCAGCGTGAAGTTTCAGTGAAACCACAGGGCACACTGTTCAGTAGAAAATGTCACGGAAGCTGCAGCGTACACTATCACAATCAACCGGAGGATTCACTGCTGTAGTCACAGAAAAAGAAGGACTTATCTTGCAATTATCCTTTGATTCTATATCCATTTTTATATATCGTATCGATGTTGCTAATGCAAATTATCGGATTCTGAATTATGCTCGTAATGCCGAGAATTAATCAAGCTCTAGGAGGGTCTGCTAGGAACGCGGATAGGTCCGGATAAATCCATCAATGTGGAGATAGTATAACACAATGGTAACAAGCATAGTGAAAAATGAATGCAACAACAGTCGACTCAGCGGAAGCTATACGTACGTATACTAGCCCAAGCGGATTTAGATCTACGGGCATTAATAATTTCTTCATACATGGCAATTGAAGTAGTGATGTGACAAACTTTCTTCATAATTTGAATTGCATATGTGCAGGATATAGAACCGCTGTCGTCTGGACAACTTTCTGTTATGCTGGTCAATCGATCGTTTAGCCATTGATGCACGCAATGACTGCTTATGTCACAATGGACCTTACCCAAAAGAACATTTCCACTTCATATTCCCTACCTTTTCTTCCTTGCTACACTAGCAGCTATCTTTGAATTCAAGCCACCAAAGGAAACAACTGTTTTTTTTTGTATGTAGATGCAACTATGTCCATAAACATTTCTGTTGTTTTCGCTTTCTGTCCTTATCTTAGCCATTTGCAGAAACTAGAGGACGGCTTACACCTTGAGACTTACGTTTACCTTGGCACCTAGGCACTTGGCATTTCGATACCAGGAGTTACATACTCCGTCATCGATGGAAAAATTCCTCACCTGAAACAGATCTCAGGGAAGTAAATGTTACATCGTGCCTTCTGGATCTGCGTGCGTCGTAGCTAAGACCGGCTTGCATATGGTTTGAAATAGCTCTTTCGTTTTTGCCCAACGAATACTGTCGGGCATTAAGGTTCTGCTTTACAAGATTTAACGTCCTGCTACTCTGTGGCTTCCGCCAAATGACGGACTTTAGAAACTGTACATAAAAGTAATAGAATTCTGTCATGTTCATGAGTTCTTAGATCTTACTGTACTAAGCAGTTCCATTTACTTTGCATAAAAATTGCATGTTGTGTATATCTTTTTGTTGCAGGTGGAAAGAAATATCTGAGCTTGAGTATTATCTGTGTTCTGCGTTAAAATCACAATTTTAAGGAACAAACATTGTTGGTAAACTTGATTTAATAAATGCAATACTTTAGTTTTGAGCAGTGATTCATTGTATTGCCGATTCTTGTACCTTGCGTATGATTGGGGAATTCCGAGAAGAAGCGCATCTGGAATATGCAAAATAGTCGAATACATCTAATGGCAGCTAAAAACAGCTCAAAATAGATATTCATAATTGGAAGTAGCAAATGCTTCGAAAACAGGACAGGCAGCTTAACAAATCTAAAACCCCTTTCTGTTTCGATAGGTACCGAATATTACAATTGTTGTTACCTAAAACGACTTAAAATAAATTTCGTATTTTCTCGTATGAAGCAGTTTTAATAGGCGCATTGAGCAGTTTCGTGAAGAATTGTTAGGGTAATACAGAGTCCAAGTTTTCCAAAGCTATGCAAAATGTTTTCACTCCTGAATTTAATTAATTTATGAAGAAAGTGTAATTTGTTTAATCTGTTTCTACAGATTAAGAAGTCACAGCTGCAATGATGTGGCTACGTCTTGGGAATTTGCTCAGAAGGGAAAGTGGAGCAGCTAAAACTTGTTCGACCGACCGGCTGAAGACTCCGGGTACAGCCAAGAATGGCCTGGAATAAGTAAGTCGACAGAATCTGCTCCAGACTCAGGTCCTCTTGTGCTAAACCTGAAACGCTGGCACAGATTCGGGAACTTTAGTGCATTGTCTGATGCTTCTGCCTCGGCGATCCGAAAGGATAGATGGTTATTGAAACTGACAGACAGCGTGACTATTTAATAAGAAGGCTATGCAATGAAACGTGAAATCTGGTTTTTGAAGAGTTATGCATTATTTGATTTACTAACATATTTTGATGTTTGTGAGGTAGCATATAAAAGGTCAGATCCTGGACCATCGCTCGTAATGAGTGCATGTAGCTACAACGAACCAAATGACATGAGATGCATCTGACATGCTACAGGTGCTCAAATGCCATACTGCTTTGAATCTGGCTTGTTTAAATGATCCCACTAAGCAACTAGGAGCAAGGGGCAACACGCCGTAAAGTCTGGTTATAAAGGAGTTATACTGCAGCAATTTACGTACTCAGTAGACACTTTGACCAAAATGCAGTGGTGGCACAGAGGCAGCGAGGTCGGCTTCGAACTCTGGAGATGTCGGATTGCAGTACCTAGTCAGAAGGACCTTGTCTTTACGGTTACTTCTTAGCGTATGGATGAATTTATCCCGCTTTGCTTCGGTGCAACCAACAGAGAAATTGGCAGCTAGTCTCTGACTTGTGAACAGCTAAGACAATATGGTGTTCTGACGGGGTCATAC